CTATTTTAAAACGCGTGTGAACGCAATCTGTGTCTTTTCTTGCGTTAGATCTTGTACCACAATTGAAACGCAATTTATTTGCTATCCAATAAACACAGTAAAATCGACGAAGTAGATAAAACGCGTTTCATGGAGGTATGAGTGAGCTCATGAAATGCCGAAAACGCGCTTCACTACACTGATTTCCGAAACACAACTGAATCCATAGTTATATAGTAGGTACTGTCAATGAAGAGTGGTCAGACGTACAGTAAATCTAATATTTTTGGTTTTGAGGTTTTCGCTTTCGTTTTGAAATACGCCGAAAAGGATTTTATTTCCAAACTAAAACCAAAACTTCAAAACTAGTTTTGATTTTAGTTCATGCCTAAGCATGATAACTATTGAAATCTGCATTTATACAAAAATAGGCTTGAGTACAACGGAGTTTGCTCTAGTTAAAATGCTACATTGCACTAGGAGAAAAAGCTTTGTGTTATATTTCGTCTTTGTAAACTGTTAATTAGCGGTAAAAAAGAGTCCCTTATTGATTCAGTTAAGTAAAAAAGAAATCTATTTAGTTTTATTGAATACGTATATGATATCCATGATATTTTTTCTTTTGAACTCTAAAATTCGGCCTTCGTTTATATATTGAGGATTGAGTCAAATACGCTTTTTGGTTTAACACATTGATATTATCAAATGAGTATTTATGTGATAATGCATTTCTATTCGAAAGTTTTTATTGAAAATATGAGGCTATAAATACAACTGTATGCTTCTGTTTCCTTAAACTCGGAAGTACTTTCTATTGCATACACGATAGATTATTATCTTGGCATTATCGTTAGAATTTTCATCATCACTGTCATAAATAACTAAGTAAATTAGATGCATATTATGTTTTTTACTTTCAATTGCTTTTAAAATAAAAACTGCTCAAGAATGTTCTTTGATGCAGAGTTTAGTATAATTATCTTTATTGTTCCTTATAATGAACAGTGCATCGAAGTAAAATTTATTTTATGAAATTAAGAAAAGCGAAAAAAACGCATCATAACTATTTAAAAACTTCAAAACAAACAATTTTTAAATATTTTTATTCAAATATCAATCAATATTCTGTTCTAAAAAAACAAATTAAGTAAGTTTAAAAAATTCTTGCTATAAGATCATTCATTCTATTTCGGATGGATGACTTAAAAGATTACACTATGACGGTTACGAAAAAATACACATACAAGATTTTTGTATTTTATGTGTCGTGATATATCGTTCTCATGTTCTATAAAAAATACTTGTTATAGTGTGTTTATACTGATGGAAAAAATGTTAATTAATATTATTATACTGTGTATATGTACATTTATACCCTTCAAAGACAGATATATTTGTTTTTCTTAATTTTTTCAGTAACCAAATTTTTGAGTTTTTTCCCACTGTTATTTCATAGATAAAACGAATGCCTTGTCTTGATTTCATTAAAATAAATATTTTAATTATATTTATTTTAAAAAGCAAGATAAGTCAAAAGCACTGTAAAATGATTAATTTATGTGATTCATGAAGATAATAACCATATCAAGCAATGTATGGCTCAGCGTCAGCGCAAGTCATGTTCGGTTTGTAATCAACTGTTCATGGGTTCAAATCTTGGTTCACGCTATCGTCGGGAATATTACCACTCTGTTGCTCATGGTATGTGGGTGTTATATCATAGCTTAATATGATGCATCGACTCAATTCCGACACAGTGTGTTGATAATTTTTTAATATTTTGGGGGAAAAAAGTAAACGCGTTCTAACGCATCTTGTATCCAGAGGAGTTTAAACGCATTTCCTTTTCGATGCGCTCCCACGCTTGAAAATGCTGCATTTGGACGCGTCCTAACGCGTCTTCCAATGCAAACGACTTATGATGCGTTTAGATATTGAACGAGTGTAAATGCATCAGGTTACCCTGGATGCGTCTACACCCCCGAAAATGTTGCCTTCTAGATGCGTCCTGATGCGTGAAGTGCTATCGTTCACAAACGCTCAGAGACGCGTTACGACTCGAAACAAAATTACATAGGAAGCAGGAAAGTGAATTTAGATACATCCCATTGCAAACTATTGTTAACTTTTTCTTCATCGGGTCAGACGAAAAATCGAATCTAGATAGATCCTATTTCAGACTGTTGTTTCTTTTCTGTGATAGTCTTTATATATGAATATAGCTATATATACTCTAAGTTTTAATGTTTTTCGTCATTTGTGCATTCAACATTTTCGTATAGTAATGACATCACATCGACAAACGTTTCCACGTCGAGTTTTTACTCCAACACAACACACACCACCTTCAACTCATTACTTACTTTTATTTGAAGAAACTAATTCGTACCAAATAGTTACCCGATCAAGTCTTAAAAATATAAATGATGATGTTACATTTATTCTTATTCGTAATAAACTTTTACAAGCCAAAATAGTCTTTCATAGTCTACTTTCATATTTATTTATTTATTTATTTTATTCTCGTTTATTGTCTTTTAGGTTCCCTTGAAGATTGTAATAGTGAATATGCTCGAGTAACTCGTTTATCACAAGATCAAGCCGATGATCAAAATGATGGCAATATTCTCGCTTCATGTTTCAAACTGATATAGCTACGCCATAGTTTTTCATTCTTTCAGATGATTCAATTCAAGATGCAATCAATATCATTAATTCATCTATGACAAATATAAGATCTTCAAAAATTGACCGAACACGTTTATCATCATCAACTTCATCATCACCACGAATTTCAACATGTGCACAAGCACCAAAAAAAATAGATGTTGAAGGTTGTGCTTAATTCTTTATTTTTCAATGAAGATTTTAATTGTGATCATCTAGTATATATAATTTTTGTTCGCTCTATCAGCACGACAAGTGCAGTCTTTGAGAAGTAATGCATCTTATATATTCGAAATGAATCATTTTCATTTCTTCATCAAAACGATTGTAGTTGTAGTATTTTATCACTACAAACAACTTATAAATGAAGATGTTTTGTGCCATTCGTATTTTAATAATATAGTTTAATCGCTATAGATTCGACGAGATATTTTCCCTATTGTAAAAATTTTGTTTTCTTTGTTTTATATAATAACTTATATTATTTTATTTTATTAAACAAGTGTCAGATAGTGATTACATTTTTTGATTGTCGTAAACGAACGAAGAAAACATTATTTGAATCATCATCAAAGAAGAGAAAGAGCACCATCGGTAAACCTTTAACACAACGTGTTTCAATAGCTTCAAGTGAGTTGAAATAATATGACTACGATTATCTTACATCTATTAATCCAGATGATGAAAATATTACCATGAGTAACAAAAACAAAATCAAAATCAAATGTTCTTCAAGATATCGATAATCGAGTAAACCAATTAAATGAAAAATTAATCTGAAATTCATCTAAACTCGATCAACTAATGCAAAAGTTATACGTGAAAATAGATCGTCTTACTTCTAATATCAATATCGTAAGTAATTTAAAACAAAACAAATTTGCTATTATTTCGTTGAATTGAAAATAATTTACGAGATGTTAATCGTTTTCTAATTATTTAATACCTTTGAAATAAAAAAAAAGAATGCCAGTAAAAAATTGAGGTGTTTACATGAATACGAACAAATTTAGATTTGAACGACTTCAGACTTAAATATTCAAAACCGTATAAACACAGCTTTTCAATATGTTATCTGTTTCCATTTGTCTTCAAAGTTACTTTTTTGTTTTAGCATTAATATGCTCTTGAACCATATGTAGATAAAACTGGTGAAACGTTTCCAGATGTACTGGTAAGTTTTCCTACTTATAAATCAAGAGATTTCGCTACTATATTGCATAGACCAAGACGGACTAACGTAATAAACTATTAAATTTGTTCGGCTTAGTCAGATCAAATTGATGCAATCGATCTAGATAGAAACTTTTATGAATTTAAAAAACAACATTTAACATCTTTTGACAATCGGTAGAGTGAAATCGACTGAAGATTATTCGGCGGTTCCATCGGATAAAATAGAATGCAATTTCTTTTCAAAATAGATCGAAATCGAATCAAATACAGATTTTTAAGAATTTGTTTGAAAAAACCCAAACGAAAATATTTACATAGTAGATTTGAATAGAATGAAATGAGATTCCTTTTGAAAAGTTCATCGAATCGAATTCGATAATATCCTTTTGATAATTCTCTGACATCAAATTGCATGGAATAGTTTCTGAAAAGTAGATCGAATCGAATAATTTTGACTGCACAATTTACAATGGCCATTGACTCTATTTTTGTCAATAGTGAAAAAATCTAAATATGGTTTCAATTGTTCAGGACCCATTGAGTATTAGTGAAGACTCGAATAGAATTTATTTTCAGGTATTAGACTGTTTCATGAATAACAAATAGCCAGTGTTATGACGATGTCCAAGAGATCGAAGTATCCATTGCTTGTATTACACCGATAAACTTTTTTTTTTCTATACTGTTTATTTTTTTCCTCTCACTCATATATCTATATTCAGTATTACTTAAAATAATTGAAACTATATCGATTTTATGTCGATCAATATAAGATATTGTAATATCAATATTTCCTTCTATTGTTGTTCAGTCCTACATATGTCAATAAATCATGAAAATAGTAAATATTAACTTAGAAAATAATAATAGAAGCAGAAAGTATTCTTATCGATATGTCACTGCTATGGAATGAATATCCAGCAAGTTTCATTCCATAGCAGTGATATCAATTCTTTTATTATAATAATACAATAAACGTACTAACGGACATAAATACGAACAGCTATTATAGTTAACATAGAAGATTATGGCATTAACCGACCCGACTCGACGAGAAAAGCAATTGAATATTACGCTAAACGATGTAGTCATATCACGGACACTATTGAAAATGAAAGAATGGAATGAGCGCATAATGTATCCACGCTATTTATTCGATACATTGAATTTCAAAAAGAAATAACACTACAGTTTTACAAATGGTGAACCAATTATTATGCATATGAAAGTTCCCCGTCGTGAACTGTGAAAGTTCGATTAGTGATCAACACCTACAAAATAGAACGGTCACTGATTCAGTTGAAAACTTAAAAATAGCAATGGAAAACCTGCACCATATGTTGTATTTTTCATTTCGTTGTTGTAAGTTTTCAACAACTACTTAATAGATAAAGAGGAATAAACATAACATACTAATCCAGAATAGTCTATCCGATTAACGAATTATCATAAAGGAATCATTTGAATTTTAACCAATCTGAATAACTTCTTCAAATAATGGAAAATGGTAGCAATATTCTATTTTAAATATGAATCGAGACAAAAGTGAAGCTTATAGGCATCTGATGAATAGCATAGTTAACTGACTGTTAGATAAGTACATGCGTTGAAAGCATCATTAGTTGCCACATCCAACGAATCAGATACACTACAATCGACTGAACTTTATTCTATTCGAAAGGTATATAGAAGTCTTACTTATCACAAAGAACTGAGATTTTCAATCACCATTCTACATATGTACACCTCCCTATTAAATTAAAATAAGAGTAATCTTCACCATGTATTATCCAATACACTTCCCAATATACAAAAGCAGACGAATAGTGATTTCGACTATTCTCCTATTAAATATTGTTCAAACCTACCTGCTGATGACTGTCTGAGCAGCAGTCGGAAGGCGTTGTATCAAGATTGAAATCAATTTAATAAATGCACACACACACACAGTAGAGTAGAAATTCATTTGTATTTTGAACAGGTCTTCAGTTCATTGGGCACTAATACATGCCACTTGATCATTCCAGTAATTATGAAATACAATCTGTAGCGTTTGCTCTTGACACCCAAATATCATTGAAAAACCATACCTTACACTCACACAAGACTCATACCAACATCCTTATCCTTATCCAGGCGAACAATCCTGGGTAATCAAATCACAAATATCCGAATAAGTAAATTATCTCCATTATTCAAATTGAGCATCGTCAAGTACACTCCAATCTTCGTTTCCTACATGGTATTCTACTATTCTATTGGCGGCAACCAAGCACTTTTAAACCGAAACCATCAAAAGCCTTGCAAAGCTCCGATAACAGCTCCGGGTTTCTAATTCGGGTGTCGACTGCCACCCTCTCGAAATGCATGATCACTCTGTCACCGATAACCATGACCGCTATTTCCTCCATTAGACAACACTCCACCAATACGGCAAGCCAACGAAAATCACGCTTATTAATCCGTAACTGAAAAACTTTCAAGGACATTCCATCAATCCCATCGTAAACATTCGATTTCTGCATCCCTTCAGTCTCTCTCGCGTCGGCGTCAGCAAGCCACTGCAGTGCATCCGAAAACAATTTAAGAAGCGTACTAGCGCCCTTCAGATCGGTACTTCGAATACCTTGTACGAGACCACCTAGTGTCACCACCAACCGATCAATCACCTGACTCGTTGCTGCTTTTTCACCCATCACTCCAAGAGCTGTACATAAATTCGTTCGGACCCACTCATTCTGATCACCTAGTGCCACCGCCAACCGATCAATCACCTGACTCGTTGCTGCTTTTTCGCCCGTAGTCGCAAGAGGATAACATACCGTCGCTCTGATCTTTTCATCATTGTGTTGAAGTGGAAGTAACAATGTTTCAAGTAATTGGTTGTGCGGGTCGGTGATATTCAGTTTTCCAATGAAGGTTGCTATACGTGATTTGTGCTCTTCCGCTTCGGTCAAGAGAGACGCGAACTCGATGTGTACTTCTGGTAAATTCTGTATTTTGGTACATGAATTGATTGTCATTGCAATTGCTTCCTGCGGTTTGAAATCGTTTTGGCTGAAGGCGAACCTTATCCAATTTAGTAGTAATGATATGGACTGGCTGCGATGTGGCACCGCGCAGCTACATTGAGTTTCGTCAAGGCATACTGTCACAAGTTGCATGTGTCGAATACCCACGAGATCGCGTGGGTGACCGGAAATGGTGTCCCGAAATGTGTGAATTGATTGTGTGTTTTCGGATTGAATGAGAAGACCAGATACAAAGATAAATACTAGCTGTAGACGTTTCTCATACTTATGAGTTTCAATGAACTGAATTGCTATGTCACGTGTAGTGCTGTTGAGAAGTCTCACCAAATGCCGTGCTGCAAAGAATTCTTGGAAACTGAGATGAACGAAATAGTGATGTTTTTCTATTTGAATTTGATTCCCAGTTGGTCCATTATCGAACGATTTCAAAATGCCAATATGCAGTGCATCGGAATAGATATCCGACAAGCAGCCAATATTGTGCATCACTTTCTGGAGCAATTCTTTTCGTAAAATGATGGTGTTACTGGTCATTCCTTCAAATGCTAGCGTTTCTAAGAAAGTTAGTTCTGGATGACACTTTTCGTACACTTCCATTCTACTGATTTGGATCGAAGTACTTTTCCTAGC